ATCGAGTTGAGCGCCGCGCTTCGCGCCGAACAGTCGATGGCGCTGCAGCAGGTGGAATCGAGACAGGTTGAGAAACCTGCCGCTCTTTCTCTGCAGGAAGAGCAGGCGGCCTCTCAAGTCGAGGCTCAACCACTGCCTCCAAGTGCCTCGACTGTCCAGCTTGGCAGTGCCGGTTCGGGCCGCGACGTGCCGATTCCTCCCCCGTTGCCGGCGGGACCGATCCCGGCCGAAGTGGGTAGCCAGGTACACCTCGCTAGGAAAGGCAAGGCTCCGCAAACGGTACTCCGTTTAGCTAAGCCGGTGCAGACCTGGTCGGAGGCAGTGAGGAAGTGCGCTTCCTTCCGACTCACAACTCTCGCGATACGCGAAGCCGCGGAGGAATCTCGCGTGATGTCCGCCTCGGCAGGTTTGTTCCAGCCACCGGCTGGAGAGGACTCCCGGAGTGATTCGTCGCTGGACCGACTCCCCGCGGCCAGTTGCGCCGTTAGACCGGTAATAGGGAGAGCCGCTAAGACGCGCGCGAATTCGCGAAGACGAGTTGGCCGTACGCCGTTGCCATCTCCGTCGGCACGTTCCACGGGCACGAACGGGGTACTCAAAATGCTCGACGACGACGGAAGTTCGACCGAGAAGAGTGCGCGGGCCGCTGATGCGCCTAAGGTGGCGCCTCAGAGGCACGTACACGAACCTCTGCCGTGGAAGCCACAGCAGGCTCCTCGAGAACCGGAGCCCCAGGTTTCGGTTCCATCGACAGTCGCGACGGCCACCTCGGGAGTGGCTAGGAAGAAACGCCATCGTTCGGGAAAGGCGTACCGCGAAAGGCTGGCCCGAAGAAGCGCTCGGCAGCAGACGAGCGACGTTGAGTCTCGGTCACCCAACGGGTCGAGCTCGCTCCCGGCGGAAGTTGCCCCGATGGAAACATCGGAGGCGAGCCCGCCGGTAGCAGCTGTCGCGAGCGGTCAACGGCTCAGTGGTGCTGGCTCCCTTACCCCGGTGGCGGAGGAATTAAGAGCCCTCCGCCTTAAGTATTTGGAGAGGAGAGATTAGTCTCCGAAGGCAAGGTATGGTATTCTTTATGAGGCGGATACGTGCGTGTGACGTCCTGGTGCGCCGTTGATTCGATCGGGTTGTGCGTTAATTAAAAGTTCTTTTTTTCTTGGATTCATTTTCTTTTAGAATAATCGTTGTACTCTAGTGCTTGATGTTGTAAGACTTAGCTTGTATAGATCGGTCATTAATTCGAATCTTCGTTTAAATAATGAAACTCAGATTAAGCTAGTTTAAGTGTTATAAGTTTACGTATAAGCTATTTTTAGTTTGTAGCGTTTGACCGAGCCGTGAGCCATTTGCCGGAAAGAGAGAGAGCTTAAAGAGAGCTTAAAGAGAGGTAAGGCCTTGTCTCCAAGGGAGAGCTTCGGCCTTCGGAGGGGCTGTGACGGTGTAGGCCTGTCATGGCCTGCACCGTGTGCTTGCCTCCCTCTCCTTCCTAGGCAAAGGCGCACGGCCGGCATCAAGCGAACGTTGTTATCACGTGCCTGATGCCTGCCCTTTTCATTTTCAGCAACGCACGAGAGCGGAGGACGAGGACAGGGACGCGACGACGCTACCGAATATAAAGAGTGCGAGAGAGAGAGAGAGAGACTATAGTCTAGTAGTTGGGCTTGGCGCGCGGCACTTGTCGCGGCCGGCATTGCCGCGTGCCGCCGATTAGGAGGCGAGTGGTGGGAGAAGGCGTGAGAAGCTGGCTCTCATGCACTCGCGACAGTGAGTTACGCGACGCACGCGAGAGAGATCGGCCATATCAGTCGGTGACCATCGCTGCGAAGCCTGCGCCCTTTGTTCGGGAAGAAGTTGGCATTCCTCGACACATAAGCCGGACGGATTTTCTCTGCCAGCGACGCGGCAGTCAGGAGGTTCCTGCAAGAAGCCACCATCAGGACGGTACCCGGCTGGTTCTTCTGCCAGATCACCGGCTGCACAGCAGCCAAGGGTTTTCCTGCCAGGCCACCGGTGGGACATCTTCCAGATTGCCGGCGACAGCGACGTCCGCCGAAATTGGTCAGGTAATCGATTCCTCTCTCTCTTTATATCTCTCCCTTTCCTTGGCGATTCTCACGGTTCGCGTTGCGACGCCAGGCTTCCCCGAGCCGGCGTAGTTTTCGACAGTGCGTAATTCAAGTAATTGTTTGAGCCGGTTAACGAGGTGACATGGCGCTAACGTGCCGGTCATCTCGTTTAGATTAAGTTTGCGCGTTATTGTTAATAAGTGTTTGTACTTTCGCCGGCACTCTAGGTAGTGCGTTGTAATAAACGGTTTGTCAACGAGTTGTGTGTGAAATCATTTTGCCCGCTGCTCTCCTTCCTGCTTTGCCTGGAGCGATACACCGCCTCCCTTGCCTTCCCCCTTTATAAATAATTGGTAATAGTGGTGAATATATCGGCGTTGCACGCCGACGCTATTACAAAATATTAGAAAAATGTAAATAATTCATATGCAAAGTGAATAAGCATAGAACATGAGTAAGAATTGGTTTCATTAATAACAGCTGAATAATAACTGTTATTAGTAAATAAACAATTAATAATTTATTTAAATAATAAGCTATATATAGAACGAAAATATTAAGTTTATACTTGATAATGATAACTTTATGATTTAGAAATCTTAGATAATTACATAATCTAATAATTGCATAATAAGATTAGAAAAAACCGTTACAAATATGAAAAATTAGTCATAATTCAAATGTTATTAATTAATTTAAATATTTATCTTTAGAGAATACCTCCAAAATTAATCAACTATAAAGTTATATGAAAATTTTATAATTTTATATTGTAAATATTGTAATATCACGTTAATTAACTTTATTAGTTAATAACTTTTGACGACTCTATTGGCGATAATTGTATATTGTATAAAATCAACAAATAACAAATTCTGTAAAGTTTACATCTGTTAAAAACTTAATATTAATGGTTATTTACTTGTAAATTAAGAAAACTCATTTCTCAAAATTCGCGAATGTCTCTCGAATTTTCGATGAAATCTCTCTTGCAAAAATAAGCGGGAAAATCTGTGTATAAATAGGCCCACCTCTGCACAGGCTAGGATTCACTTCTAGCCTTGCAAGGTGAGCGCATGAGTCTAAATAAACTTGGATTATACCTAAGTGCTCTCTCTTATTGTGATTAACTGAGCAAGACTGTCCCTTCCTTATAATTTAAGCTCGACTTATAGAATATCTCGCGCTATAAGAAACTTGGGCCGAATTATATCCTATCAAAGAAAGACTTATAGGTAGCTTATACTTATACTTATACTTATACTTACTTATACGTAGCTCTGCTTATGGGACAATTCGCACCATAAGAAACTAGGGCATTGTCTGACTTTCCTCGAAATATTGTACTTATTTATGTATATTTGATTTACTTATTGATTACATTTGATTTATTTATCTATTTTATTGACAATTAGAGTAAAATCATTGGAAACAAATTCTTACTCATTAGCTAGATACGAGAGTTCGAATTATTTTATTTATAAGTGATACGAACATCACATCCTCGACAGCGTCGCTGATCGTTGCACCACTTCGCAGGTGGTACGCAATTGCACTCCATCACACGCTCACAGATAGCCTTACTGTCTATGCACCCACAATGCCCAAACGCACTGATGATTGAGTAGCCGAAACGCACATAACTGCTCGCGAATAACTAATAATATCGAGTAACTAACAGGGGCGACCTATGCTCGATGGTTATCTGTGTGGAACTGAGTCATTATAGGGCAGTTTTCCCGTAGCGGCGCGCGCGAAATTTCTTCCTCTTCTGGGTCCACCGAAAAATGACTAATAGAAGTTCTTGCGGGTGGATCCTAAATAAGATACATGTGGGCTCATCTTCGGTTACCTGCCGGGGTGCGTAACAAATGATTATTTATGGTCCGGTGTAGCTCGTCGGCAGCAAGCGGATTCATGACACGGCTCGTGAACATTAGAAGTATACTATTTGAAAATTTCCAACTTCAATAAGATATTTATAAAAACACTTTGTTAACATACTTTATACTACATTTGTCCTACATAAACAGGTTATATAATTGCCCTAAAAATCATGTCTTGAATTATATCTTGTCAATAGCAAAGAACCAATCTGTACCAAGTAAAGAGTAATTCGAACTATTAGAATCTCCAATCTATACCATTTTACTTTATAGCATTTATGATTAAAATAAAAAGCAAAGTTTCGTAATTGACTTTCTGATTTTTTTGCTATTACAGATTTTCTTGCTATTTATCAAATTAAGTAACTACATCTACTTTTCATAGTGGACAATTTGGATTTTGAACTGATAAGCTCAACCAACCTAAACTATTATTTACTTGAAATTAAATAAAATATCTAAACTTTGATCAATACATGTAATCAATAATAATGTACAGAAAATATTTGAAACTAACTCATCTAAACAAACGTTATACTTGCTACAAAGTGATGAGGCTGCTCATTCTCTAAGGATATAGCTTCAACTATTGGTAACAATTATTGAAATTATTTATGGAACATTAATAATTTTCATGCATGAAAATTAACCTCTGTATAATCAGTAATATTGTTATCAAAACAAATCCAAAATATAAATACCATGTGGAATATGGAATCAGAATAGCGGAATACTATATGATGACCATGATTATAAAACTGACCTAGAACCGTCGCGTTTGGAAAAAAGTTCCCTTTCTTTTGCTCTATCGAATTTTTATTACTGAGGGGGAAGGAGCGAATGGCGAATTTTTGACTGAGGTAGCAAGAAAATTTTTTTACGCGTTTATCAGGAATACTAGGAAATTTTTCGAAAATAATACCGTTTTTATTGATTGACTAAAAAATATTTTAAATCCATTAAAGAAAAACTAAGAAACCAAATAAAATTGTCTATTATTAAAAAAATTTGTAACAACGATTGGTAAAAATAAATAAATCCAACTAACCTTTATAAGGTCTAGTATAATTGCGATTTGCCTGTGTACACACCACAGGATGAGTTTTTCTCACGATCGGCTCGGCGGCTATTCGTTCTTTTATATCCTTCGGATCACAGTACTGCTCGATAACTTCTATCTCTGCCTATAAAAAACAAGTTGACCGATTATGTGCTAACACTTAGGTATATTGTAAATTTTTATAATTTTTTGTATATAGAAAAGACAAATGATAACGCCTATCAATTTTTAAAATAAAAACAATTATAGTCAATAAGTACAAAAAACGAGAATTTCAGTCAATCGGTTACACAAAATTTTCCAAATTAATTAAGACAGATATCAAAAGTACCTCCATTTCTATACCATATCAATAGTTATACGCAATTCACCCTAATTAAAAATTTTGCTTATTCCTTCTTGTTTATGTAATTATCTTTTTTTGATTTGTCAAATTAGTGAATTGTCAAAACAGAAATTCACTGGATAAAGGAAAAAACGATGTTTTTATAGAGTTTTTCAGGGAATATTCTGATATTCAGGGAATAATATCTCTCAGACTTGGTTAGCAACAAAAATTGATTTGGAAAAGTGACTTCATTAGAACTTCCCAGATAGAATCCTACATAGTATACGACATGGGATCACATGTGAGATTCCATATGAGATCCCATATGGGATCTCATATGGTATCCAAAGAGAGAATTTGGCAGAAAATGACATATGGAATCTATAGCGTATAATATCTAATCTATAATCTATAATCTATAGCCTATAATCTATTTAAGTCAAAAAACATTTTTTTGACATAAAGTAGACTCACCGTATGCCACTATCAACATTTCAAGTGTTTTGGAGTAATTAATTCCATTTTTTACACAACATTTTATGTAAACTCTTTGATCCATTGTTTCCGACTGCAGAAAATCGCCGTGCACAAAAATCACGTCTAACGTTTCTGTCTCGCAAAAAAAAGTAAACAAACAAACTGGGAGCATATGTGAGGGACATATATACCTACATAAAAAAAGCCCGCCTAATTTAAAAATTCAACTTACTTTTTGAACACACCTCGTATTATAAATCGATTAAAGTCAATCTCAGCTGTTTTTCAAGTTATTTGTATTATTTACAGATGTTCATGATAACTTCATGAATTTGTTTAAATACAAATCTTAGAGTTAATGGCTTTTTAGTTCATATAACACGTATATCGATCTCAATAACTAGTTTAGTAATAAATAGTATAAGTTGTCGCCCGTTTTATATGGTACATTACAACGAATTTGCTAAAATAATCGATCGTTGTTAATATATATTTGACGCCCCCGCGAGACGTTGGCAAGGGGCCATAGAAATCGATTGATAATAAGTCGTTAGGTTTATCGATTAAAATTGGTTGTATCCGCGTAATGACTTTTTTTCGCAAGGTACTTGGTTCGCTGGCAAACATCGCACCTATTTGTCACTTCAGCTACTTTTTTACGAAGCCGGTGAACGTAAAAATCTTCTTGTAGCATCTTCGACATTTTTCGTGAGACAACATGACCGCAAATTTCGTGTAGCTCTTAAATAAAATTATGTATGATTTGATCAGGTAACACTAATTTATTATTTGAGGTCTCTCGTTTGTAGATCAAATCTTTAATGATCATGTAACGATACTCGAAATTATCTCGATTTTTTATTTCGTTGATATACTTATCATTTTTCTGTAAGATTTTTAGATTTTTAAAATGTTTAATTAAGGTTCGCGATTTTTATTTTCACAATCACTAATACATCTTGATAGAAAATCTGCCTCTTTGTTCTTTTTTCCGGGAAAGTATTCGCATGTCAACTTGTAGTCTTGCAAGAACAGACACCAATGTACTAGTCGCGATTGGGTGAACTTGCAAATTGTGAGAAATTTAAGTGCTTCATGATCAGTTCGTACTACTATTTCTATCACACCGTGCAAATATGTTTCGAGTTTAACACAAGATCATGCGAAAGCCAATAGTTATTTTTCCGTTGTAAAATAATTAAGCTCGGATCCTTTCAAAGTTCTCGATACAAAAGTAATTACTTCTTCGCCATTCTTCTTTAATTGAGACAAAGCGGAAGCTACATGTGATAACTGGCATCGGTAGTCAAAATGTACGGTTTACTCGGATCAGGATATCACAGCGTAATAGTTTCAATAAAAATTTTCTTCGCGTTTTCAAAAGCTTCCTGATGCAAAGGTAGCCACTGGTAACCCTTGCTTTGTTGTAATAAATTTATCAAAGGACAACATATTTCCGCGTAATTTTTAGCGAACTTAGTGTAAAAATTAACAAAACCAAGAAATCTTTGCAAGCTTTTCAAATTTTTCGGAGCTTTATAGTTTTGAATGATCTCCAGTTTACATGTCTACGCTTTCATTCCCGATGGAGTAATTACGAGGCCTAGAAATTCAATTTCTTCTTGAATTAATTTTGATTTTGAAAACTTAAACGTATAATTATCTCGACGACAACAAGTAAAAAGTGTACGAAGATGGTGAATATATTCATTAAAAGTCTTTGAAATAGACAAAATATCTTCAACGAAAGAAATAATGAATTGTTTTAAGTCGCCTATCGATAAATTTAAAGCCCTGATTAGCACCGTAGTGCTATTCCATGTAAAAGGCATGACGTTAAATTCGTATGTGTTCCCTTCAATTATGAATGCAGTGTTATTTTACTGTTCTCATCTAGCGGAATTCGCTAAAAACTACTGGTTAAATCGAAACTAAAAATAAATTTGACACCGAAACAATACTGGAAAATATCATCCATGTGCAGTGGAGCTTCACAGTCTCGTATTAATTTTTTGTTAAGTTTACACGCAACAAGGCAAAATCGAGCCGATCCATCTTTCTTAATGCTTATCACAATTGGATTAATATAGTTACTTTTTGATCTCTGTACGACACGATCATTCAACATATCCTCAATAGCAATTCGAACATTTTCACGATAATTAAGTGGAATAGGATACTGGTACGATAAGTAGGGCTCTTTGTCCTTTAATACTAATTTATGAGTGTAGATTCTCAGCAGCCCCAGTTTCTTCCGAAATACATCCCAGAATTCGTACACGAGCACTACAATCTCATATTTTTGAGTAACGGTTAGATTTGAACATTCTTCGATTTTTTCACTGATCTCCTCCCGAGTTAGCTTCGCAGCGTCGTCTTTCGTGACCCCAGGGTCTAATGTATTTCGGAATACGTCAGTAAAATAGGGTAGTTCGTCATCAAAACCGATATCAGTATTATACTGAATCGCGAGACTTTCGAACGTTTTTCCGTTGTAATGTAGGGTTTCTAATCGTTTATCTATTTCAATAGTAATTAGTTCCTTGAACGTATCAAGGCTTAGCTTCACGTTTTTCATCGTATCATATCCGATTATACATTCTTTTATAAATTTTGGAACAATTAAAAAGATAATGTCGACGAGCGAGTTTCCTCATTTAACTGTTAAATAAATCTGTTTTTTTAATCGAACGGTTTTTTGACCTATTGCAACTTTAATAATATGCCTACTAATCGGAAGCGTAAGCTTTTTTCTAAAAGTGCTCAAGTTTTGATTAAAATTTTTCCGAAATCGCGGAAATTTCGCTTCCAGAATGAAGCAGAGCTTTCTCGGGTACATTTTCTAACAGTAAGTTAATCTCGGGCATTTTTTACCTATTGGATCGACCTCGTTATTCGATAAATCACCGTTATTTCATTACGGGGATCATCAAAAACTGTTAATATTTGTTCATGTTTTAATTTGTTATTGTTTTTATTTTTTATTGGTGCTATCCATTGTTTTAAGTTATCTGATTTTCGAGAGGCAGCAGCTATTCGTTTCTCGACGATGTACTCGGAGTACTCACAGTTAGCGAACTAATATTTGACTTTGTTAAGTTTTTCGTTTTGTTGAATTTATCGTTACATATTTTTGTCGTTTGTTTCGCTATTTTGACCGTAATACTATTAACATTATGCTCCGCGCCATTGTCTTTTTGCGCATTTCGTGTGTTTACATAGTCGTCATGATCGAGCGAAGACAAAACTTTGATAAATTCAGAAATTTTCTTAACGTGGCGAGCTTACACCAGGAGACGCAAAATGCCTCGATAATTTATCGATAAGCTCTTCCTCATCTAAGTTTTCATTTATATCGTACGCTAGATTGATTTTTCTGAGCGTATAATTGTATTACGTGAGCTTTCTGTTAGAGAAATGCTTTACAAATTCGATTTCTCTCGTGATGTTTCTACGAATCTCTGCGTTCCAAACTTTATCTTTAAACAATTTCTCTAAATCATCAAAGCTTTTTAGTTTGCGCTGTATGAGGTCGTACCACGAAGAGTTCACGCCCGTCATTGATTGCGACAATAAACATTCTAGTTGAGTGGTGCTATAATTGCTCGCTTGCAATAACGCTTAAAGTCATTCAAATATTTAATCGGACGATACTTGTAGCTCGTCGAACGTTGGGCAAGTCAATGTCGGTTGCTTAAACGTTTGAATTATCGTTTCATTAATGCACGAACGATTATTATCATTACTTTTTAATTTTTCTATTTCTTCTAAAACCAGCGACGTGTTCTCTTTAACTTTGCTGAGAATATTCTTTTTAGTTCGTATGATATCGCTTAGATTTTCATCACAGCGATCCCGCAAGCTCGAGATAATCTCATTGGCTTTTTCTAGGCTAGTTTGCAAAGACGCGATCAAATCTGCTTGAGCACTTACTTTGTTTGCTAATCGATCGATTTTTTACATAAATTATTAATCGTTTCACACGACGTAGTGAAATCGTTTTGTAATTTAATCTCATCGTTATGAAAGCTCTTTAGTTCATAAACTACCCCGCGCTCCCAATCTTGTGTTCGTTTTTCTTGTTCGATTTGCTCTTCCCCGATTGTCGACTCATTTAATTCGTTAAGAATCGTCTCCGAGATCTCCTCACTCGAATCATAAATACATCGCTTTCGGTTCGGCCTTTTGTCGAATTTTACCTTACGTGTAATTAAATGATAATCAAGAAAACACAAAGAGAGACTATATTAATCGCGGTTATAGTTATTTTACCCTGTTATTAGAAATTTAAGGTATTTTTTGGATGCTATTTTCCATCC